TTCAAATGTGGTTGTCTTTTCAACATAGATTAGCCTAGCACATAGCATATCTAAGTACAGGAAAGGAGAAAGTTGACCGAGGTTCTGACCAAGGCTTGCTCAGCTCTTATTGGAGCACAGAGCAAAAAGGGGCAGGATTTAGCAAAGGTCAATTGTCATATTTTTCAGAAGATCCTATCATCTCACACTTTTTAATAACTTTCAATAACTTCAAATTTGTCTCTCAATCTCTCTATGGACTCCATATTTCATGTGTTTAGTTTATTTCTGGACTTCTCACCAATGGATTGACACGTTCAGACCTGCAGCATGTGTTTGCATGCTTTAGTGTGCTTGTACCATAAGGCCTGGTTTTCAGTTTAAACTCTATATGGATCCCTGTAACTACAATGTCTGACTGTCATAATTTTGTCGATGAATGAAATCTTGTTGCTCGGGGACACTGTCCTTTCAGATTAATCTGTTGTGAGGGGGGGGTGATGCAGTGATTCCTCAGGATAGTATGCTAGTTGACAAGTTGCCACACTGAGAACGTAACGATGTACAAGTTTGTGTGTAAGGTTTTGGAATTGTTTGCTGCAGCATCTGACAGTGTCTACTGATCTCTTTCTTAGCTATTATTGTTGATTTTGTTTGGCCGCAGTATTGACCAGTTTCTCTCCCCTTTTGAATCTGTATGTAAACCCACTTGTAAATCAGATAAAGAAAAATAACTAAAGATTAAATAGCAATTATCATTGTCATTTGCTGAAATAAAATTGAAATTAACAATACATATTTGCATTTAGTTAATTTTACACGCAGCATATGAATATAATAAAATCGTATCATTATTAATATACTGAGTGGATGTCATATTATGGTCTTATGTCATTTTCTCCTACATGTTACTCTAAATGTGTTTCCTGATTTATAGCAACATTATATCCATAATTATTCAGTGCACATTTTGTTCTTTCCCTTTTGAACTTCAAAGAGTCTGGCTGTCTGCTGTGGCGGTCTGCTGAAATTACATACATCAAAACATTAAGCAATCTGCTTTCTCATTAAATAACTGTCTGTATAACACAACTGGATTTTAACCACGGTTGGCTGCTGTGGTAGGAACTCAGTCTACGTACATGGACACAAGCTCTACCAGGTGTAATAGTATCTATCAGATACATGATACATGTGAAGTGGAAGTACACTTTTCCTCTGAAATAAAATAGAAGTATAAAGTAGCATAAAATGGAAATACTTGAGTTTGAGCATAAAGTTATATTTAAGTACAACAACCAACCTAGTTAAAATTTCTTTCAAACTCATTCATAAATTCTATCCAGAGACATTGATGTGGATTGTTGTTTCTGAGACAGATGTCCAGAATTTTGTCATTGCCCATATGTGAAGAATTTCTGGCAAAACCTTTGTGATTTTATTGTTGAAAATATGTTGAAAAGATTTTATTTTGCTTTGGAAAAATATAATGATTGTTCTCCTGGAAGATGGTGTACAGAAGAACGTGTGTACATGATTAATATTTTTTATATAGATTCTTTACCCCACATATTTTGATTCTTGTTTCTTTGTTAGTACATGTTTTCATGTTTTTATACATGTACACTGTCTTTATGAAAAATAAAGGTGGGGGAAAAGAAGGTGTGTGACACCATGTTAACACCATCAGATAAAGGAGAACGAGCCTATGAGACCACCGCATCAGCATCATTGTTCTTCACTTAGAATATATTTTATATTTTTAAATCATTACTTTTTGTGTCGATCCTAAAAGATATACTACATTCATGAAATTTGATGTAATTTGTGTAAAGTATACAATTATGATAAACATTAAAAGAAATATGATTTGGTTTTAGATACAGAACGTTCTTAAAATAACACATGTGACTAATAAACAAAGTGCAAAATCAGAAACCAGACAATTAATAACTGAGGCTTCCAGAGAATCTTTTGAGACCAGTTTTGTCACGTAGACTCCTGCTGTCTCTCATTTCCCCCAAGGAACTTGAATGCAACACGCCAGCAGAAGAGCTCTCCGTGCGCATGCTCACAGATTTAGCATTATCGCTATACTGTAATGTGTGTGCGCTACTCAAAGGTGTGTTGTCATCTAGCTCCATCGGTGTGTGTTTGTTTTGTCCGTGTGTCAGTGTCCGTTGGAGCGGGGCTGTCGGCGTCCATGTACTGCAGAGAAAAGTTGTAGCCACCGCAGAGCTATCGGCGTGTCGCTGAAGGAGACGGACTATGTCGGCAAATAAAACAAAGAAAGTCAAAATGGCTACTAAATCTTGTCCTGAATGCGACCAACAGGTGAGAAAATGCATTTTCGTTAAATTGTGAACGCTGTTACCGAGTGCCTAGCTTACGTACCCTTGGTAATTGTACTGGTCATACAGTCACAGCCAGCTCACCAGACGGAAATGGGCTTCTGTGGTAGCTCCACTGCTCATGTGTAAACGAGAGTGTCGCCAAATCCCACTCAAAGAATTAACAAATTAGTTTGGTTAGCTGTTGGTTTTCTGCCGAGCCAAATAGCCTTCATGTTCTTCGAATTAACGACATATTTACACATATTTAGGCAGTTGTCGGTCTTGGACAATCTTGTATCAAACACATGTAACACACAAGTAATATTACTTGGTTAAATTTCACATTTTGTGTTGTTGTTGCAGTCGTCTTCCCAAGAATAGACGCGGAGAGCTGGGAAACTAGTTAAAAGTTAAAATATCACTAAAGCAAGTGGTGACTGGCGAGTCTGTGACCCGAATTTAAGAGTTGTGCATATTTCCCCAAAATCTCGGCCGTTTAATTATTTTACCGCAAGGTAACTTGCCCATAAGCCAAAAGTTATTACATTTTTAAAAAATTAAATGGAATTTGGCATGTTCGTTTCTCCATAGCTCACACTAGTGCGTCAGGGCTGTTGTTATTCTATGACAGTGGGTATTTTAAGCCCAAAGTGAATACAGTTCACATACAGCTCATTCTGTCCAAAATAACATGTCAGAGAGCTTTATACAATGCCATTGATCAACATTTGTTTGGCTTTACAGTTAATGCTGCAGCCTTCTCCTTTTTAAAGGGGAACTCCACAGGTTTTACAGTCAGTCTGTGTGCGGCTCACGGGAAGTGTGACTTAACATTTGATGAAGTTGTGAATAAAGCATTTTGTGGCTCCAGAGGGGGCTGCACAAAATCTGTGCCTCATGTGGGGTTATTTCTGTTCAACCATTTCTGTTCTGAAACCAGCAATACCACATTCACACCCACTTCACGATTGAAGTGAGAAAGGAGCCAGGGTTTGGTGTCTGTGTTGCCAAACAACGTTTTCATTTGTCATGTCAACAACCGAGTGGACCTGTACGACTCAGGGTTCCCACAGGTCCTGGAAAACCTGGGAATTTAGGGACTAGTTTTCCAGTCATGGAAACACCTAGAAATGGATTTAAATGACCAAATATCTTGGAAATCATCTATTTTGTTCTGGAAATGTTTAACTGTATTTTAGCCTGTCACTCAGATCGTATTTTGTTTTAAACTGAAATGTTGGTAGGAGAACCTGCGAAGTATGACTCTTTTAAATAGGTTTACCAGAACTGGAACAAAGTTGCAGCGTCTTTTTGGAACTAACACTTTCTACTTCTTTGAAGAACTTTGAAGAAAGCCATATAGCTACTTCAGTTCCCCATGCAAAAGGCCAAGTATTAACTTTATTTAACATAAGAATCACGTCCAACAGATGTTGTGCTTTTCTGTTTGTACCTCTCTCTCGACTGTGGTTGACAGCCTTTCAAAGGGTATTAATGGGGCAAGAACATGAGTGACAGTATCACTCGGCTCTGGAAAGCAGTGTGTACATTTCACGTTGTTATGAGGAAGTTGAAGAAGACTACAAAAAAAAACCTGCCAGAAATGTGCACCTTGCTCAGGGTGGAACTGAAAGCCTCATGAGGCAGTTGCAAACCTTTGTGTGAAATTGAACCTGGATACAATCACAAGATCAAATTGAAACAGTATTTTCCAAAAATCCAAGTCAACATAATTGTAGAGTAATAATTGAGACACAGAAGGGTTAATGCTGGACATTGATATCAGCTGATTCTGTTCAATGCACACCTTGTTTCATTATAAAATCCACAGTAGTGGTTTCGGTATGGGTACGTTGGGGAACTATAACACCATGTTCAGATTCTGTGAAAATGCTGCTGGTGTACGTTGCAGCCGACGGATTTTCTTTTTGGAATGAGAACCAGTCGGTAAATGAGTTGTTTTGTTCCCCGTATTTATAAATCTGTTTCCCAACTTGGTTTTGTCATTTCAAAACAGAAAACCTGTTGGCCGCACTGACCCTGACGCCACACCCGGACCTTTTACCAGCGCTCATACAGGGTACACTTGAAGTACCCTGTAAGTAAGTGAATGTTGGCTTTGGACTAGGGCTGCAACCATTATTTTCATTGATTAGGCTGTCAGTCATTTTTTGGATTAATCAAGTAGTTGTTTGGTCGATAAAATGTTAGAAAAATGCCCCAAAGATATTCAGTTTGCAGTCATAGATGACTAAAGGAACCTGGAAATATTCCCATGTGAGAAGATCTGAATTACTGCAGAATGGCCCAACATATCCGTATTCATACAGTATTACTTTGCTGTCTTCTCTCTCTCCTATGTCTCCTTTTAGCTGGTTTTTCAATATAAACCACTTCAATCACAAAGGCATCTGCTTCTGTTTCTGCTCCAGATTTCCACCAGGAGCAGGATGGGAAATAATGTCAAAAGGGACCTAGTTGTAGTTTTGCAAATGTGTTTGAAGTGGCTATATTTATTGAAGAACTCTTTACAGACACATTAACGCACACAGTAACGCTCCAAGAGGAAGAATCCTTTTATATGTGTGATGAGCTAACGTCTTCACTGCCCCTCCCCCGAGTGGCAAACACTAATTAAATCTTGTTTGTTTCTCTTCAGATTCCAGTTGCGTGCAAGTCCTGCCCATGTGGTTTTGTGTTTATCAGCAGAAAACTCCTGAATGCCAAATTAAATGAGCGGTCCTCTCCAGCCATTGCAGGTAAGCTTCAGCCTGCAAAAAGCTGACGATTTATATGTGAGACTGTAGTGTAACCGTGTGTTTAAGGCTGGCTTGATGAATGAGTGCTGAGCGTCATTCGTGATTTTGCCCACAAAGCTCAGATTGGCTTGGCTGTTTTTCTGACCAGAGGCTCAGTGAGAGACTGGCTGAGCAAATCGGCGTCCTGCAACCGGCCTAACGCATAAAATATGGGGATGTGTTTTTATTATCCATGTTTTCTACTCCAGAAAAGTTGGAGCGGAGGAGGACAGAGCGCATTCGCAGAGAGAGGATCGACTCGTCTTTAACCAGCGACATGGAGAACAGGAGAAGGTCCCGCACCAACAGCCAATCAGATCCCATCCGGAGGGGACGGGGCAGACCCAAAACAGTGGGGCTGAAGAAACAGGAAGAGGAAAAAGGTAAAAGAAGTGATTATTGTCAGTTTCATCTTGCATGTTTTTGACACAAGAGATCACAGGAATTCTCTGGGAGCCTCTTATTAACTTCACCTAACTCTCTTTTTAGTCCATATCTGATTTATGAAAATGAATTCATTCATTTTTTATTAAAAGGGTTGGGATCCTGTTGTGGAACAACTTATTAACGTTTAGGCTACAATCAAACTGACCCAAATCCTTTTTTATTTGCTCATAAGTGATTCAGTGCGAACAGCACAGATCACATGGAATCTGATCTTTTCAATTCTGATTTGGTCCACTTTCACATATGCTCCAAATCAAATCTGAATTCATGTGACTTGTTATGTCATGCAGGTCACTTTAAGACTTTTCAAACTGGAATCTGATATGGGGCCACATTTAACAACTAATATTAACAGCCAAACAAGAAAAATCCAGTCTGAGCATTAAGTAAGAACTGAGTGCTAAGGCTTGGAGTGTGAACGCAGCCTTAGACAACTTTTAAAGGTAGAGGACAACCACTTATATCAGCAACGACCACGTCTACAACACACCTCATGTGCAACAATAGCAACAACAAAGCTTCCTTCACAATAAAAGTATCCTGTGTGTGTGTGTGAAGCTCATCAAGTATGTTTGTAGCAAAACATCTGGGTCAGTTTACATAACATCTTAGTAATTATGAGTCAATAAAATGAATCGTAAAAGCACTCTTAGCAAACTCATACAAGCAGTGGGCAGGTCAGAACAAAAACCCATCCAGTCACTCACAAAGCATTGCTGCAACTAAAACCACATCCTGAAGTGGCTTCAGACAGCAAGCAGTTGGATGGATGCTATTGGCTGCCGCCATCTGAGGGAAAGGTCCAGTGTGTAACATT